ACACCTTTTTTGGCAAATGGTGTCTGTGAACTTTAAGAATTATACTCTCAAGCAAAGTGATACGCTTGGCAACAAAGATATTGGCAAGGGAGTTTCCCAAAACATTTGCTTCACATCTGGCTTGAGGCTTAAAGGGAATGTACAACATTGGCTTTTGCTGCACTTCTCAGAAATAAATGGATTTGGAGGATTAGTATGTTTTGGCAAATATTGTTAAACTGACTTGTTTCATGTTTTTGGGCTCGTAGGTGCTGAAAAACGAAGAAAACCAATTATGTTTTTGTAGTCTGGTTCCCTGACCCCACTTGAGATGAAATGGAGCAATTTATAGACTTTGGGGAATTGAACGGTCAGAGTATCAATTAAACTGGCTTGTACCCGTTCACAGGTGTGTAATCACTTACAAAGAAAATGTGGACTAACTAAATACAAGGAATATGGAGTAGTTTTTTAAAATAGCCAGTTTTGTCCAACGCTGGTCGGCCGACATCTGCCTACCGGTAGTTCTGTCTCATTTTGCCAGAACGCCTCTATGAAGCTTCAAAATGTAATTGCTCCACAGTCCGCAACTGTCAACTGTCACACAAGAGGAGTTTCAAAAAGTTCAAGTACATGTACAAACAAAAGAAGCCATTTAAAACTTAGAAGGACATACATGTAGGAAAACCCTGGTAGTACCAGTACATGTACTGGTACAACGTAAACAAACCTTGAAGAAGCATGATATTTCAGGAAAAAGGACGTATATTTGTACATGTACATGTATATGTATACATTCTCTACATCCTTATATTCAAAAGTTACTTGGTATATCTCCAAAATGGTAACCCTTTAAAGGGAAAATACAACATTTGCAAACATCAAAAAATAAAACTACCAAATCATTTTGAAATACCTTGCTGGACTGTTAGTGAATGACAGTGTAAAGCATCCTGTAAAATCATGGCACCTGGTATACAATGTACTGTCATTTTCAAGAAAAGTGGTATTTTTGTATCAATTTCCAACGCTGATCGGCCGACCAGCGTTGGAAAAAAATGGCTTTTTTTCATATACTGGCCCCAGTTGACCATCGCACTTGTTTGCAATCGATTACACACCTATGAACGGGTACAAGCCAGCTAGACTGGTTCCCTGACCTTACAATTCTCCAATGTATGTAAACTGCTCTGTTTTTTTCTTAAATGGAGTCAGGGAACCAGACTACAGGAAAATGATTGTTTTCTTGGTTTTTATAGCATTTTCGAACCCAAAACCTCAAAAAAAGTCAGTGTAACTATATTTGCTATATATTTCCAACCCCCCAATTCCATCCATGTCTGAAAATTACAGCAAAAGCAAATGATGTATATTCCCTTTAAAGTAATATGCACGTACTCGTATAATGTGGACCATAACTTTTGATGTGCAAGAAGCACTTTCAATTCCGGCAACCAGAGGAAGTAGTTATGGGCTGAACTCTACACTTTGCGGTTGTAAACCATGTTGGCTTCCCCCTAAATATTCCCTGATGGGAAATATATCAGACGTCTAATTGACGGTAAATTGTGTTGCATTCAGGAAGGAAACTTTTTTCTTTCTTTTTGGTTTGGAAAAGGTGGTTTGAGGTGCTAAATATTGTGTTCACATTCAACATTTATTTGAAGTGTTTATTTCAATAATGGTATCAAGTTTTCAGATTAAAGATATACATGAACATTGCATCATCTGTGCTCTTCACAAAAAAAAGAATGATTTATACTTCTAACTATTTTGAAATTGTATGCTTTATTGTAACAAAAAACACAAACAAACGAACAAAGCATCAGTCGCACCACAAAGCGTCGTATCCTGATTTTTGGCCAAATTGAGTTTTTTTCATTAAAGGGAAAATACAACATTTGCAAACACCAAAAAATAAAACTACCAAATCATTTTGAAATACCTTGCTGGACTGTTAGTGAATGACAGTGTAAAGCATCCTGTAAAATCATGGCACCTGGTATACTGTCATGTTCAAGAAAAGTGGTATTTTTGTATCAATTTCCAACGCTGATCGGCCGACCAGCGTTGGAAAAAAATGGCTTTTTTCAAATACTGGCCCCAGTTGACCATCGCACTTGTTTGCAATCGATTACACACCTATGAACGGGTACAAACCAGCTAGACTGGTTCCCTGACCTTACAATTCCCCAATGTATGTAAACTGCTCTGTTTCTTCTTAAATGGAGTCAGGGAGCCAGACTACAGGAAAACGATTGTTTTTCTTGGTTTTTATAGCTTTTTCGAACCCAAAACCTCAAAAAAGTCAGTGTAACTATATTTGCTATATATTCCCAACCCCCCAATTCCATCCATTTCTGAAAATTACAGCAAAAGCAAATGATGTATATTCCCTTTAACATTTTTATTTCATCAAAGTGCTCGTCCTTACAAAGTTTTAGTCTGGTTTTATTAAGTCGTATCCCGATATGCCACTTTGCGCGCTAATTCCCTTAGCGCCGTGGCGTAACTAAAAAGCACCAGCTGGAAAGTACTTGAAATACAATAAAGTGAGTTTTACAAAGTGACATGTACCTTGGGAACTGAAAATTTTAAGAACTAAGCAACTCAGAAGCAAATGAATTGCATACGATGAAGTTTAAAGGGAATGTACATCATTGGCTTTTGCTGTAATTTTCAGAAATGAACTACATGTATTTGAGGGGTTAGTATAATAGATCAAATACTGTTACACTGACAAGTTTGAAGTTTTGTGTTCGAAAATGCTGGAAAAACCAAGAAAAACAAAAATGTTCAAGTAGTCTGGTTCCCTGACTCCACTAAAGATGAAATGAATCAATTTATTGATGCCCGAAAATTGTAAGGTAAGGAAACCAGTCTAGCTGGCCTGCACCCGTTAATGAACATGTAATCAATAGCAAACACAATTTGGACTGAAAAAAAAGGTAAATTTGGAGCAGTAGTTGAAAAATAGTTAGGTTTTTTCAACGGTGGTCAGCCGACCACCATTGGAAATTTATACAAAATACCACTTTTCTTGAAAATGACTTCATACCAGGTGCCACAATTTTACAGGATGCTTTAGACTTTCATTTACCAACATCCTATTAAGGTATTTCGTAAAAATTTGGTAGTTTTGTTTTCCAATGTTGGCAAATGTTGTATATTCCCTTTAAACTATAATGTTCCACCTGAAACGAAACGGATTGAATTGTTACATGTACACAAGAAGTATAAGGAATGAACCGACCAAAATATTACCACTTTAAATCATTTTTCTCAAGACACCAAAAATTGCGATACGACCGTTCGTGGTGCGACTGATGAAATATTTGTTTCTACTTTGGGCATCTGTAAGTGTAACCCTTATTTGAAAAAAGGCATTTATTGTGGGTTGATTTTTGTATGTAGAAACTGAAGGTGAAGCCACAGCTGAAAACAATGCCAAGGTTTTAAAAAATGGCAAACGTGCAGACTACAATTTCTTTTTATGCAGAAAAATAACTTTCCTCAATATTTTATTCAGTTTTTAAAGGGAATGTTCATGTACATCATTGGCTTTTGCTGTAATTCTCAGAAATGAACTATTTGAGGGGTTAGTATAATAGATCAAATATTGTTTAACTGACATGTTTGAAATTTTGTGTTCGAAAATGCTTGAAAAACCAAGAAAAAAAACTGTTTAAGTAGCCTGGTTCCCTGACTCTACTTAAGATAAAATGGATCAATTTATAAATGTTGGAAAATTGTAAGAAAAGGGAACCAGTCTAGCTGGCCTGCACCCGTTCATGAACATGTAACCAATAGCAAACAAAATTTGGACTGAAAAAAATTGTAAATTTGGAGCAGTAGTTGAAAAATAGTTAGGTTTTTCCAACGGTGGTCGGCCGACCACCGTTGGAAATGTATACAAAAATACCGTTTTCTTGAAAATGACTCGACACCAGGTGCCATTATTTTACAGGATGCTTTAGACTGTCATTGACCAACATCCTAATACGGTATTTCGTTAAAACTTGGTAGTTTTATTTTTTGATGTTTGCAAATGTTGTATATTCCCTTTACTGTCATTTGGTACAGTCCCACTCTCCCAGGGCATCATAATTCATGTTGCTTGTAGAATATCATAAGCTTCTCTTGTTAGTTTTGGGGGAAATGGGCTCAACTTACTCCGAGTAATGTACAGATAATGGGACCCAGCTGTGGTAGGGAGTCGGCCATTAGGCCTCAATGATACTTGTGTCTGCAATCTCAAGTGTGTCTGTCTGTACGGGATCAACTTGAGATGCAAAGTGGGATAAGCAAAATTGAAAAAAAAATTGTTGAGTTTGAATCCGTATGTGACCTTAGGCCAAAAAAAAAAAGTCTCCGGTTTCTGGTATGGAGCTTGCCCAAAAAGTGGTGCGGCGACGTGGCATTTTTTTTTTTTTTTTTTTACCTGTTTTTTTTTGCTTCAAATGTCGGCTGATGACTGCAAATGGTGCCCGACTAAACCTAGTGCAAATATATGGGAGTCCGGAGAGGCCACATAAAGCTTATTCTTGATCATAACCCCATCTAAAACCACTTTAAAATTGTGCAGCAGCAGGATTCCAGTCAAACCAGTGAGTTTGGCGGTTTTGAGACATCAAAAAACCTTTTTCATTTTGCCGACGCGCATGGCTACGGCGACGCGCGCGCATACCAGAAACTGGAGACTTTTTGGGGGGGGGGGGGCCTTAGGATATGTTAAACAGCAAGGGGTGTGATTCAAAACTTAAATTAATGTACAACATTTACATTTGCTGTAATTTTCAGAAATGGATGAATTTGGTGGTTGGTATTTTATAGAGAATATTGTTAGCGTACGCGGACCTGTTTTGTGTTCATTCATGCAGGAAAAACTGTGAAATAAAATTACTGTTCTTGTAGTCTGGTTCCCTGACCCTGCTTCAGACAATCAGTAATTTATAGACGGTTTCTTGTATTTATGTGTATGTTTAAGTTTTGGTGTTTTTTTTTTTCCTATTCCATTGCAGTGCTGAAGTGACGCAAGTGCAATATCACAGCTCAACGCATATCAGGGAAAGCCGTGCGCCTTCCCAAAAAACCATCATTTCCATAGCAAGCACAACGCAGGGTCCAGCAAGCAACCATGGCGACAACACCGTGCGGCACGTGTTCCAAGATAGTACTCTTCATTGTAAATTTTGTCTTTTGGGTAGGTAAACCTGACAGAAATTTTGTGAGATTAATGAAAAAAATCCATGGGAAGTACAGTGGAATGCCGCTATAATGCGGACAACATCGCGGGATCCACAGAAATTGTTTGTAATACATGTAGCTATCATTCGGTATGGCGATATTTTAAGCTGCCGGTGCTCCGGTAATCACTTTTTAATAAATACTGCCCTTCACATCTTCACCCAGGCCCTGGTACCGGTACATGTAGTTACTGAAAGACGACTTTGAACACACGCCAACTATTGAATGTCATCACACAGTTTTAGAGCTTACTACCGGTACCTACAGCAGTGGGTGGCTTTCCCCTTCGCTTTCCCCTTCTATCCCTTGGGGAAACAATAACCACTTGTCGCTCTTCTCTTGACATTCTTCAACAACTACATTGTTCGGTACGTTTTGTGCACAAAAATTGGGAGCCAAAGACGATGCTCTGTACAGCCTAATGTTTGGTGAAATGTATAATTATTCGAAACTCGCCGATCAAGTTTTACATGCGCCAGCTGCAACTGTGCAGCGCTGGTAGAAAGTTGCATGCGAGCCGCATCTGTACAGAAGAGTGGCAAGCAGCAGACCATTCCAGGCTGCACCGTTTCGTGGATGAGCCAAGCGAGCCGCTCGGCGAAGACCTGCCGCGCAAACAATGGACGATGCTGAACCGCCTCAGAACCGGCGTAGGCCGCTTCGCCGCGACTATGAAAGGCTGGGGGCTCAGGGACTCTGCCGCATGCGACTGTGGCCACCCAGAGCAGTCAGTTGACCATATCATCGAGTCCTGTCCACAGCACCGGCCACCCCACGGCGAACATGACATTATCACCCTGGACGATGACACAAAGACATGGCTTTTCTCCACCGAGTTGCAGGTGTGATGAAAAGACGATGGTAGCATACGAGTGAAGAAGAAGAAGAACATTTATATGTACATGTACATGTATTGGCCGCTTTTCGACATGTAACATCACAGTCATGTGTGCACGCGCATAGTGGTTTTTTTTGTTTTTTTGGGGGGGGGGAATATTTAAACTGGCAAAAAGCTATTACAATACTCGGTTGATGATCGAATATTTGAATATTCATTATATTTGGGACAGCCCTACATTACTTGTGAATGACTTGTGACCGATCTTTGATTGACTTGTGATTTGACATGAGACTTTTTGTCTTTCTCCGTTCAGCTGAGCGGCATAGCAGTACTGGGCATGGGCATCTGGGTCAGCATTGACCGTAACACCATGGAGTTCCTCAAAGTCTTTGACTACCCGATCTTTCGTAACTTTGGCTTTGCCATGATCGGTATCGGGGGATTCGTGACGATACTGGGCTTCATCGGCTGTTTCGGGGCCTGCCACGAATCCAAATGCCTGCTCTGGACGGTGAGGAGATGGAATTAAGTTATGAGTCTAACGGTCATATTTTTAAAGGTCGAGTAGATCATTTTCTGCTATCCAAAAAGTAACTGATGAAATTATTGTTGAAATGCTTACTTGGTTTTATAATAAAGGCAGTAATGGCACTAAACTCCCTGTGAAATTATTCCTTCTGGCATGCTGTCATTTTGAAGAAAACAATAAACGAAGGCTATTTCCAAAGATGCATCATGCGACAAATTTTTGGAAATTTCCTTTAGTAGTTGGTTTGTAATTCGTGAATCCGTGAATGGGTGCACGCAAGCATTGACACGACGTACACACGGTTGCTATTATTTTTTGGTTCAGTGCGTGACACCGCGTAGCTTCAATTGGCTGAATGAGAAAGTGTCCCGAATGCTGATTTCAGGCGCAATTCAAAACATGATTCGGCAAATTTTGAATTGAAATCGAGATCCTAGAATATTGTTTTTCTCCGAATGTACGGCATTCACAGAGCTAACTAAAGGTTAGTCGTTAAGCACCCATCTTTAGATTTTGAACACTTTTGTTGCTTCAAACGAAAAAAATGCACAAATGACAAACGATCTTAAGCAAACGAGGGCTATGTTACAATGTCATTTTCTCAGAACAAACAGTAGATATATTGTGTACATTGAAGCAGTTTGGTGATTTTACTTCGAGAATTATACATTAGAAAAGCACAAGATTCAAAGACAGGCAACATATACACTTGGATTCATTCATGGCTCTTTGTATTCCCAAAATGGCGTTTGTCATGGCGTCCTCGTTTGCAGAAAAAAAATTACGGCTAATTGGCTTTGTAAACATACTGGCCTTCTACTAGTGAAAATAGGACTTACAACAATTTTTCCCCAAAAATGTCAATTTGCCGGATTGCCATGAAACGGAGACGTAGCCGGGGTTTTAGAAACGACTTGAGATTGATGGTTTAAGCCACGTCCGCATACAGCGTATCACACGACAGCTGGCTTTGTGTGGGGAGCGTGTTCAGAACGTTGATCAGATGTGCGACTACTCCTCCCCTTTTTTCTTGTGTTTTTGTCTGTATTTGGTCGGGGGGGGGGGGGGGGGGAGGGGGGGAGGGCTATCTCCCAAATGCCTTGCTACGCCACCGCCTGCCAAAATGTCATGCCATATACAGGTATCAATTCGTCACCGACACCACGAAGTAACACTCCACGTGTTAAACCATATTTTTTTCGATTTTCAGTTTTTTACATTTTTAAACATTATTCATCAAGGCCTACCATTGCACGAAGTTTCAAAGCTTCAAGAGCTTTACTTTAATAATTACGCTTATTATCCATGGCAACTTTTGCGCAAAAGTGACAATTTTCGTTTTCACGAAGTAGCACTCAAGTTCCATTTACCATTGCAATGCATGGCGCGCACTCTGATCAAATGTGAGCAAAAACGTTTTCACAAAGTAACACTCACCTTATATGAGCGCGCGCTGACCTGAAGTTGCACTTTCCTTGTGTTATATACATTGAAGAGTGTTACTTCGTAAAAACGAAAATTTACAGTTTCGCAGCCTTTTCGGTTTCACGAACTAACACTCACCTTTTTTCTCTTTTTTGTTGTTGATTTAATACACAAACGGGTGAAAAACAGCAGATTTAATAAATTCAATTCATCAAGTGTTCACAACGAGAAACCCAACTGAAAAAACTCTGCCGTTTTGATGCAAAGTGTTGTTTTAGAAGGCGTTCAACTTAAGATACCGTTTTCTCCGAATGCTTTTACTGGTATGTACATGGGTGTTACTTCGTGGTGTTGCTGACGAATTGTAACAGGTTCCCATCTGATTTTGTTTGCATACACAAATATGCCAAGCAATAAGCGGCCCTTGAAACTGATGCCTGGATACAGTTGGTTTCATTCTTGATCATCATTGTATGGTTTGTCAGAGAAACAAGTTTCGGTTCCATTTTCCCCTACAGCACATTATCTCTTTCGCAGATTTCCTGTTGATCGTTCCTGCTAAAAAGATATCCATTGAATGAAAATCCCCTAAAACTTCCCACTGTAAATATATCTCACACTGTCCAGTCTCCGATTTCAGTACGAGGGTTCTGATCTAGCCAGATTAGAGTAATGAATAATTTCCTGCAGCAGCTTGAGTCCATGGCAATCTGGTCTCTTGAGGTGCCCATTTAGATTCTTTGGTGGAGAGAGAGAGAGGCAATCGTGGTAAAGTGTCTTGCCCAAGAACAAGCACCACTACACAACCATTACAACCATTACCTCAGTTCATTAGGCACTTACAGCAATTTTCTGCAGCAGCTTGAGATCAGGGCAATCTGGTTTCTACCCTGACATGTGTCCGTAAATACTCCTCAGTGGAGAGAGGCAATTGTGGTAAAGTGCCTTGCCCAAGAACATAAGCGCCACTTCACTATCATGACCTCAGTTCTTCAGGTCATTAGACCAGTTTTCTGCAGCAGCTTGAGTGAGATCAGGGCAATCTGGCCTCTACCCTGACAGGTGTCCGTTTATACTCCTCAGTGGAGAGAGGCAATTGTGATAAAGTGCCTTGCCCAAGAACATAAGAACCACTTCACAATCATGACCTCAGTTCTTCAGGTCATTAGACCAGTTTTTTGCAGCAGCTTGAGTGAGAGGGCTATCTGGCCTCTACCCTCACAGTTGCCCATTTATACTCCTTGGTGGAGGCAATTGTGGTAAAGTGCCTTGCCCAAGAACATAAGCACCACTTCACAATCATTACCTCAGTTCACCAGGCCATTAGACCAGTTTTCTGCAGCAGCTTGAGATCAGGGCAATCTGGCCTCTACCTTCACAGGTACCCATTTATACTCCTCAGTGCAGAGAGCCAATTGTGGTAAAGTGCCTTGCCCAAGAACATAAGCAGCACTTCACAAATGTATGTTCTGTTTTTTGTGCAATTTTAAATGCAATTGGCTTGATTTTGTTTTTGTGATAATCGTTTTGTTCTTGTCTTTTATTGCAGTATTTTGTCGGCCTACTTTTCCTGTTCCTTGCGGAGATTGTTTGCATGGCCCTGGCATTCTCATACACTGAACAGGTAAGTTGTCATGCCTATTGACTAGAAACAAGGGCTCTAGTGCACATTTTATCAAATATTGTCACATTATATCATTTATTGGCATATGGTGAGGTCACTAGTGAGGCTGTTGATGCCAGAATTAATCACAGTAGCTGTTGTGTTGCAGATACATTGTATCATATATATAATGTATATTGACTGGCAATAAGGGCACTAGTGTAAACTAGTGCCCTGTCACAGTATCGTATCTTGACCTACGTGTATGATAAGGGCACCTGCATGTGTATACATCTCAGAGTTAGTTACAATACATGTATATAATGACTTTATCACTAGTGCCTTTAGTGACCTACCGGTACATGTAAGGGCATTAGTGGAGTATGTCACAGTATGTTGATCACAGTATGCATATGTGTATTATATTGGCTGGTATTGACTGCCCTCTGTTGACTGAAAGTTTCCAATTCCTACATGTACACTGTACCTTACAAATTTCCATTCCTGGTTTTTTTTTACCCATTTTGTGCAGGTCAAAGAATATGTCAAGTTGAAGCTGGGCGAGCCAGTCGAAAGTAGTTACACCAAGGAACCAACAGGAATTGTCAGAGCCGTCGACAGTATGCAAGAACTGGTTAGTGAAGAAACAAAGTTTGGCAACAAGCAGTTAACCAAGAGTCGGTGATGTTGTTGGAAGATATTGGTTTTGTAGGAACTTTTTGAATTTGTTTGGAAGGTGATCACCGGCATTCTTAATCTATCTGTCTCTTGTTCTCCTGTGCAGCTCATGTGCTGTGGCAACAGCAACCACACAGATTGGCAGCGGAGCCAGTGGTATAAGGAGGTGAACACCCCGCTGAACCCCATCCGCAACCAGACGATACCGGGATCCTGCTGCATGGAGTCTGAGGACTTTCAAAAATACCTAGACTGCCAGATAAAGGTCGAGAATCCTAACGAGTTGAGGCATTCACAGGTAGGCCGGGTTGGGGGCACTTTGAGGAGAGGAACATTTTTTTATGTAATCGAGTCCACTTCAAGTCCTCACTAGTCCCCCAAGTCAGCCCAAGTCCTCACAAGTCCTAGCAAGTCCTTACAAGTCCTCGCAAGTCATTGCAAGTCACCACAAGTCCTCACAAGTCCTAGTAAGTGCTTACAAGTAAAAACAAGTCTTCACAAGACCTTGCAAGTCCTTTCAAGACCTCACAAGTCGTCACAAGACCTTGCAAGACCACACAAGTCTCACAAGTCCTCGAAAGTCAATGCAAGTCACCACAAGTCCTCACAACCCATAGCAAGTCCTCACATGTAATAACAAGTCTTAATAAGTCCTAACAAGTAATAACAAGTCTTCACAAGACCTTGCAAGACCGCACACGTCCTCACAAGTCTTCACAAGTTCTCACAAGTCAATGCAAGTCACCACAAGTCCTCACAGCTCCTAGCAAGTCCTCACAAGTAATAACAATTAAGTCTTAATAAGTCCTAGCAAGTCCTAACAAGTAATAACAAGTCTTCACAAGACCTTGCAAGACCTCACAAGTCCTCACAAGTCTTCACCAGTTATCACAAGTCATTGCTTGTCACCACAAAACCTCACAAGTCATAGCAAGTCCTTACAAGTAATAACAAGTCTTCACAAGACCTGGCAAGTCCTTGCAAAACCTCTCAGGTCCTCACAAGTCCTCACAAGTTATTGCAAGTCCTAGCAAGTCCTCGCAAGTAATAACATGTCTTCACAAGACCGCAAGAAATTGCAAGTCCTCGCTAGTCTTCACAAGTCCTCATAAGTCCTCACAGGTCATCTCAAGTCACCTTTAGTCATCGCAAGTCATCACAATCTCCAACAATTTCTCACAAATCTAAATAAGTAATAACAAGTCTCCACAAGACCTCTCAAGTCATTGCAAGTCCTTGCAAGTTCTCACTAGTCTTCACAAAACTTCACTAGTCTTCACATTTTGCCCTTTGCTAATGATTGAGAGCCCGTCACGTAAGTGGTTTTAAACGGCTGATAAAACGCTGGCTGGTTTTAAACACTCTATTCCTGCACCGCTGCCTCATCGGGCAGCACCTGCCGCGCACGCGCCAATCTCCATGAAAAAAAAATGTAGCGCTATATGCGCACGAGGCACATACCACAGACATGGCCAGAGGGGTGTTTCACAAAACATGAGGTAAAATTGTCGAACAAAATCTTTGGAAAATCGTGAATTTTTGACTTGTTTTGAGTTTTTGACCGAAAGGTATTTATGAATGGGAATAAATGTGCTTGGCCAGTATTAAACATACGTTTAAAACTGGCTAGGAGCCTGGTCACGGATCTGCGTCAAGGCCCCCTAGCCGGTTTTAAAGGTACTTGTTTATTAAGCCGGCCAAGCACATATTTATTCCCTTAGCAAAACTCTTTATTTTTGTAGTATATCAAATTTTTTAAATGTCATGTATTGTATGTGTATTTACAATTCATTTGTTCAGTTACTGCTGTTTTTTGTGTCAACAGGGTTGTTTTGACGCACTGTACGGTACTTTCCTGGAGTATATATGGTTCATTGGCGGAGTAGGAATTGGAATAGCAGTTCTTCAGGTGAGCGTCACTGTGAATGTACAACAGTAATAATGAAGATATTAATAACAGGTTCTTATATAGCGCTTTTAACTAAGATCAAAGCGCTTTACATTATAATTACCTCTAATCATTGGGCCAATTAAACATTCCATATTCCATCTCAACTCCCTGGGGAGTATATACAGCTCGATGCAGCCTGTTAGGCGCAAGGAAGCTAATTCAATCACAATAACCATCACTGCCCTCACAGGTACCCATTTACTCCTGGGTGGGGACAAGCAATGAGTGACAAAGTGCCTTGCCCAAGAACACACACACCCCGACCCTGCCAGGATTCGAAACCCACAACCTGCAGCTTTAACCGCAGACCTCAAATCAGGGCCCTTAACCACGAGGCCACAGCACTCCAGTAGCAGATCTAGAGGGGGCTTAGGGGAGGGTTGCAACCCGAGTAACATGGGGCAAAAACTAAAATAATGGAATGTTCAAAAATTGATTCCCAAATTACCTTGGAAGGAGAGTTGTGCATCACAAGGCCTTAAAGGACCACTCACAGTGAGGGCTACCTACATTTTGTAAATAAGGGATAGAAAAGGAAATCTAAGAAATGGAAAAAATACTTGAAGACATGAATGATTTGAATGATTCTTGTACTAAAAGAAAGCTTATTAATTGAGCTTTCATATCGTAGATTTTGAAAGTGCTACATTCAGAACTTCACTCAAACAGTGGTCCCGAGATTTGGGTTTCGTTTTTTTTTAACTCGCCCTGTATATTTTAGGAACAGGATTTGACTTTTTGGGTTTGATTTCTACCGCAGGTTCTACTCATGGTGATTACCGTGTTCTTGCTACGAAACCTCACTGATGATTACGATTGATGACCCATCATGCACAGGCTGAAACTGAGGTGAGGGGAGGGGCTACTGGAAAAGGGGGCGGAATGTCTAATGAACCCCAGTCGTATGTTGAAACTCATTTGTCAGGGTTCTCAGCTACTCTAGAAATCAGGGAAAAGTGTTGAAAATGAGTTTCCATTTTTTCAGTCATGGAAAATCAGGGCATTTAAGAAAAACACCAAAATTCGGGGAAAACTCAAGAGAATTTGACAGGAAATGGAAACAATAATAATAATAATTACCCTGGATTGGACATTTGGGAGACATCCCCATAGACTTGTGCGCAAAGTTTTTCAAACTTCAATGTGCCCTAACCCAATATTCCCTTGTCCTTTTTCAACGAATTTCAGTATGTTTACTAATTAGACCACAAGCAACAAATATAACCTAATTGCAACAGTAAAATTGTGCCTCTAAAGGGGGGCTGTGACATTAGAAAGACGTGAAAATGTCTCCCTAATGATCGATGTCTCCCATCGTGCGAAGAAATTACGATAACGTGTCTCCTTAGTGGTACCTTTACACGTATATACTTCTTGGAGTATCCAATCAAAAGTAAGTAATCACATAGATACAAATTTCTATAATCACAAAAGTCAATTACACGGAGAAAATAGATGCCTATGTATTCTTGCAACCAGAGTAAAAATATACTTAAATACAGAAAACCGGACAATACCTGGACCAGATGGATGAATATAAGGGTTGGGAGGCCCTCGCTTGTCAACAAGTTGCTGGTGTATTATCAGTATCTTAGTTGCTTTTGTTGCGACCACCTCTTAACTTCCAAGCAAACTCGTTAAAGTGAAAATATTTCTCATGGAAATATGGAACTTTCTCAGGGAAATAGGTAGTCTAGGGGCTAGACGTTGTTTGTTTGATACTTGATAACCCGCGGCCACGATAACCCGCCGCCACGAGAGGGCGTCATCACGACCAACCTTATCGCCCACGAACCCGTGTGGCACAACGTCTGGGCCGATTTGTATGGGTTGTGTAATGCGCGCGCACCTGTTCAGCCTAACATATGCGACGCAAATGTAATTCTGAACCAAACTCTTAAATTTCTTCCAGTAGCACACAAGATGTTGCAAGACTTTTGTGCAACTTCACTGGTCAGCTCTTTTGTGGTGCGAAGTATGCGTGAGACTGAGCATGGACCGTATTTGCCTGCAGAAGTAGCGCATGCGCACACGTTTCCCCCCTTTTTTGCGGTGGGAAATTTAAGCAATTGTGATGGGATCAAGCAACATGAGTCGTTTGTCGACCCTGGTCAAATTTTGTTTTATTACAAATTTCAAAAGAGCACAATCTCAGCATTACTGGTGTGAAAACCGCATGCTGATACCATCTTTAGTTAAAAAATTATGGAAGTTGAAACACCAACAAATGTGATGAAGTGGCCTTATTTTGGCCTGTTACTCCACATAAAAATTCCCGACAAACGACTCATTTTGCTTGATCACATCACAATTGACCTAGACGTTGTTTCTCACGGGTTCGTGGCCGATATGGTTGGTCGTGATAACGCCCTCTCGTGGCGGCGGGTTATCGCGGCCGCAGTTTATTGAGTATCAAACAAACAATGTCTAGCCCCTAGACTAGGAAAAAGGGGAAAATCAGGGAAGTTTATATTTCATAAATTGCTTGGGACCCTATTGATCACAAGTCTCAGGTTACTCAAATAAGCTGCAACAAAGGCATTCCTTTGTTGTTTGTTCGTCCATGGTTACTTGCGACTGGACTCGTGATGGACACGACTACAGCACTGTTGAAACTGAAATCAAAGAGTCAAGGAAAGTGTAATTTCAATTTTAGAAATTGACCTTGAAATTGACAAAATGAGGAACCGCCAAAAAGTCCTGGATAACTCGGTAGAGCACCGGAACGACAGTCCGTGGGTCGCAGGTTCAAACCCCGCTCCAAGTAAATTTCTTTGTTCAACTTTAAAATCATTATTATGCACCTAGTCAGTTTTCCGTGTGTGGTTTGTTAGCAAAAGTTGATACTGACAAACGAAGACTAATGGCAAAATAATTTTCAAGTTTGAGGACGACATAAATACTGTCACTTGTCTCAGTTTCCACAAAAACTGTTGCCCTTCCTTACCAAGTTTCAAGAAAGTACTACTTCTACCCTACATATTGTCACCGTCACCACGAAGTGACACTAACATAAAAAAATCAATATTTTACGATTTCGATTTTTTTTCCTGATTTGTGATTAATTACACATAATCTATCACCTCAAGAAGTTACTAAGCACATAGTTAATTAGTTTTGTCAAAACATTAATTAACATTAATGAACGTTTGCAACTTAATGGGTCAAAACCGGAAAATGCGTTTTCACGAAGTGTACTATACCATTCTTTTGCATGTAAACTGCCTGCACACTACGCGTCAAAAACGGGTTTTGCGTTTTCACGAAGTAACACAAATGTCACGTGATACGCATGACTCACTTCTGGTGTCATCACGAAGTAGCGCTAACCCATTAGCTAATACACATGGTTAGCGTCACTTCGTGAAAACTCGAACAGCGCGTATTCTGATTTTAGAGTTTATACGAAGTGACCTTAAGGTTAATTAGTTGATAACTCATTAATATTATTTGTTTTCAATAAAAATCACACATAAACGTGACATTCAAGATCCCAGCTTTCAGACAATGTAAAAAAATATGAATTTTGAGGCTAAAACGATGTTCAGATCACCGTTTCAAAACACCACCAACTTAAATCGCTTGTATCTCTAAACACACATTTTCCACTTCACAGGGGTTAAGGTCACTTCGTGGTGTCGGTGACGATATGAACACTGAAGCAAAAATGATCCTGCAATGTTTTGGAAAGAAAGTTGTCTATATCTGTTATTGATTTTCCATCTTTTTATCCCTCCAGATTACCTTGATCCTGGTGCGAGAGAGTGTATTGTTATGGTGCATTGTGGGTGAGCTGCTGCAATAAAAAATAATTGTGTATATCGTTTCCTGGAATACGAAGAAAAACAAGGTAAAAAAAAAGTAAAAAAAAAATCACAGTGGTGCATCAAGTGTTCAACACTGTCTACAATGGTCTTATTAAGTCAGTAAAATTAACAGTGAATGTAATTGTAAGTTAAAAAAAAAATTCTTACAAAAGTTGTAAAATAAAACTAAATTTTTTAAAAGAGCTCAGTATTGGAATACTAAATTTCCTGACTTGCACAGACCACAAACAACACACAGAATCACATTGGCCTTTTCTAATCATGTGATAGGAAACGCCCAATGGGCAGTCGAGTGGTGTCAACTCATTTGCATGGCTGGATACGGGTGTGTTTGAGTAGCTTACACATGTAAGTAAAACTTACATCGGAGCGTTCGATTTGCCATTACGTGATACTCGTGTCTGCCCCAGTGTCACCCACCACTACCCCAGCTCGCGACCGGTCTCTGATGGCTACCTGCATAATTTTTCTTTTTTTGCAGCATACATCGTATTTTAACCAATCACATCACACACCCTAACATGAATATTCATCACGCTGTGTGGATGGAAGACACTTGGGTTCTCGTAGTGTTTCCCTTCAATTAAACCTATCCCAACCAACAAAAACATTTGATGAAAACGAACATGGGTTCGAACCACAGATCTTGCGATCCATAGTTCATTCCACTATCCACTAGGCCACTGTGGCAGCTCGCCGGCAGCCGTTCAAAGAAATGCTTTAATGCACGTGCATGACTGAGTGATAGCAATGGTGTGACATCATTGTTATTTTCTTATGAATAAACATCAAACTAGCTGAATAATCATGATCCATTGACGATGTGTGCTGCAGATAAAAACATAGCTGGGTGCCCGGGTGTAATGACCTTAATTTTCCAGAATGCCTGGCAAAAAAACAAACATGCGGCAGCCTTCCATTAGCCTCCTTTCATGGCATCCTAGTGTGTACACCAGGAAGCTAATCGAACACACCCTTTTTGCAGTGCGAAAGTGTAGATTGTGTGGAAGATGAAAAAAGTGGAAGTGTGATAGTTAAAGGGAAGATGCAACATTTGCAAACATCAAAAAACGAAATGACCACATTATCACGAAATACCTTACTGGATTGTTAGAGAATGATAGTCCAAAGCATCCTGTAAAATCGTAGCTCTCGATGTGTAAACATTTTCAAGAAAACTTGTATTTTTCCAACGCTGGTCGGCCAACTAGCTTTGGAGAAAACTGGCTTTTTTTTCTCAAAAACTTCTTCTAAGTTTTCATATTTAGTTATTTCGAATTTTCTTTGCAAATAATTACACACCCGTGAAGGAGTACAAGCCTGCTAGACCGATTCTCTTACCTTACAATTCTCCAAAGTCTAAAATTGCTCCGTTTCATCTTAAGTGGGGTCAGGGAGCCAGACTACAAGAACATGATTGGTTTTCTTGGCTTTTCCAGCATCTACAAGCCCAAAACGTGAAACAAGTCAGTTTAACAATATTTTCTATAACATACTAATCCTCGGAAAATTGCAGCAAAGGCAGATGTTGTACTTTCCCTTTAAGTAAGGGTTTTATCAAGTTGGTAATTTCATGAGAATTGTTGGTACGCAATTTGAAAAAAAAATTCCAAACTGTTTACAAAATGGCGGGCAAGGGTAGTCTGGTGATGGATTGTGAGTAATTCGAGGAGTTTTTTTTTTTCATATTTCAATACTGAGCTCTGTTGAACTTTTAACCTTTCACCTTTCACCTCAAACTGTCCACGTACAGTTTGATCTTTTTTCAGATGCTAAGTTAGCATCAACTGCACGTGGAAAAGTACACATTCCCTGACGTTACTCAGTTTTACTTGTATAAAGATTAGTGAACACGCAGTTGGGTATTCTCTCAAGCGTGGTGCAGAAATTTGAAGTGTACATGTATATGTAACTTACTTGTTTAACATTTTAAAAAGGGGGAAAATCATGGTAATGATTTTTTTACATCTCTTAATAGTTCATGTTGTATGTAAAGAAGATTTTTATGAGTAGCGGATTTAAGCTAATATTTGTACAGAAAATTTGACTGTGTATTGGTACTTAGCATAGTTGTATCGTCTCCAGTGACACTTTTATCATGTTTTCAAAATATTTGGTGTATTTGAAATGGTCGGAAAACAGTGTATAATTTATGCTTTTGCTTCAGTTTTTTTCCTAACTGTAGGACAATTTTAAATTAGACATTTGACATTGAAAGTAGGTTGGTGTTGGTGTAAGATACCAATGCGCGAGTACCTAGTACTTATGCTACTCGTCCTGGTGATTTGTCAACTACTCACGAGTACTTAACTACTCACGAATACTTGACTACTCACGAGTAATTTACTACTCACGAGTACTTGACTACTCATGAGTAAACTTGAGTGCTCATGAGTACTTAACTACTCGCAAGTACTTTACTACTCACGAGTGTAGTTGAGTGCTCACTAGTACTTGACTACTCACGAGCACTTGACTACTCATGATTACATGACTACTCAGGAGTACTTGACTGCTAACGAGCACTTGACCACTCACAAGCACTTGACTACTCACGAGCACTTGACTACTCACGAGTACATGACTACTCACGAGTAATTTCTTCACGAGTTCTCGAGTTGAAAAAGTCCACTACTCGCCCAGGACTAGTGTAAGAACGAACTAGTTTAACAAGTGTGACTTTGTCAAGAAAAAAGTACTGTGTTCCAAAAATTTGTATGGAAAGGATAATACATGTAAACCAAATGGTTAATCGTTTTGGTTTTGTATACTGAGTCCTGAGTTTTGAGTAACAAAATGTTACTCATGCACAGAGTCCTTACTCACTGAAAAATGTAAACTCGCTGGTTGGTGCTGCAACATAGTCCAGTTTTGCAAAGGTTATAAATGAACACAAGTTTCAGTAAAATGGTTGCAGATTTTAAACGCATAGCTAGCTTACGTGTACTTTGCGCTGTATGACATTTGCCTTGTTTAGAGCATGGACATTTGAGTTTTTATAATGTACATGTATTTCCAAGTACATATCATTTTTTTTCTCAATTTTTGAATGTCTTTGTATTAATATCTTAGACTGCCCAAAAAATCCTTTTTAAAAAGACGGAACCAGCAATATCTAAATTAGAAGTACTAAAACACTTTGTCAAAAAGTAGATATTCTACATATCTAATTTTAAATACAAATTCCAGTTTGATAATATTGTCCTGCATGTTATGTACACATGGCATATGCATCGAGTCATGTTTCTTATAAATATTAATATATTGAACTTGTGATATTTTTGTCGATATCGGCAAATTGGCTTATTATCAATTCTGATATTGTCAATATATTGACAAACAAATCCTTTATACACCAGCTTGGCTAATTATCAATATGCGTGTGCCATGGACGCCCATTAACTCATACAATGCAATATAACTATTTTCTCTAATACTTGATGATATACCACGTTTTATATCAAGTTCACAAAATATAGGTTGTGATATATAAACTATTACCACGTTGAAAATTGAAATAGCTTTTAAATAATATACTAAATACTACATGCTTGCCATACCATTCTAGTAATGATGATGGAAGTGGGCTTTTTGCTAGTATTTCATTTTTAGTATACCAATATATATCTTTGAAGAACACCTTTCTTGCCGTTTGTACCAAATTTTGAAATAACATATTTTCTAAGAACCGGGCCAGTGTCAGACTGGACTGATGCAGTTTCAAATATTGTAAAATGTGAAAGAAAACCTTGTATTATCTTCAGAAATACTTCATACAGTTTATTCTTGCCAATGACGTTTCCTTTTTTGGAAACTCTCTGAAAATATTTTTCCCTGAGACAAAAAATCATCAAAACCTTGATCACCACCAAGCTTTGCACTAAAACAAGAGGCTCTAATTTCAATACTGTCAAGTTATATATGTGTAGAATAGCATTAGATATTCTTAGATATTGTAATAGCTTATATTATGTAATATAGCTCTGTATGAATATTTTAACAGAAGTGAGGTTTAATTAAAGCATTTGTATTACACTCGTGAAAAAAAAAATGTGTACAAACATATTTGATGTCAGTATTCTGTCCATAAAACGTTTCTGGAATTTTAGAGTTTACCGAAATGTTAAAGTGTACAATTTTTTTTTTTATAAAACGGTAGGCTGATAACGCATTCTGTTTTGTTTTTATGACGTCACTGTTACTTTATTCACAAAAGTTGCACGACTGATATGTTGAGCTGTTAATTGGATTATCCCTTGTTTAAATTCTACAAGATTATCCCTTTTTTCAGTTAACAAAACCTACATATATCTAATAGACTAAACTGGGCACGCTACCACGTGATTCAATCACGTGGCCCCCTTCCATGGCGGGTTTATAATAGACTAAATAGACTAAACTGGGCACGCTACCACGTGATACAATCACGTGGCCCCCTTCCATGGCGGGTTTATAATGTGCTAGCTATTGTTCACATTTGTTTCCCATGAAAGGGGGCCCCATGAGCGTCCAGTGGTCACGTGCCCGAGTTTGTCTACACTTTTGGTGAACAAAACTTAACCATCCAAATTAATGTTTCAATAATTCTACTCGTCTGCTGTGAAACTGATCCAAGTATTTATTTGACTTATTATATATATACTACATTCTCCACTTGTAATATCCGTTTTGACAAATTTTTATTTCTTCCAATTTTTAGATGCAGTTATACAAATCCAATTGCCAAGTAAACTATATCAACCCAGTAGCATGTATTTTTGTAAGGTTAGCTTACATATTTTACCATTTTTTCATCCACTATTTTAGCTTGGAAGTATTTGTACAAAATGTCATTTGTAGAGATGCAAACAAATAAATATGGCTGTCTTTGTAAAAAAAAAAAAAAAAAAAGGAAGAGAAAATGTATTTTAGGGTAAGAATTTGCATATCAAAAAGGGACAAAAAAATCCGTTGGTTTGGCTGAATGTTTTTGCAGATTCCAAGTGTAGATATGCGTTGTTCTAGATGAATTGTGTAGCATGTACTAGAAGCATCATCTGCATGGACGCAGTTGTGAACCTACAATAAAAAAAAAGTTTCAAGAAATAATTGTCAAAAAAAGAGAACATAATATACTTGAGGCTCATGTGCATATTCGGCAATTCT